AGATCAATTTCAAACAATCCCTTGGATCCAATCGCTAAGCCAATGGGCCAAAGTACAACGATTGAACAATTATTGGACCCAAATGGCCCATAAACCCACTCCGATTTTCAGTTATCAAAGTTTCGGCCTCTCCGAAACGGCGGAAGGCAGTGAAATCGGGAAGACCAGAGCAGCTCTGGTTTGAGCAAAGCTCACAGTCAGAGTGAATGGAGAACGTAAACGAGAGTACAAGCGTTCGAGTTCTATGCCCTAAGCTCGTCCTTGACAAGAACGAACCGGGCCTCCAATGGCTGATTGGATCCCCATTTTTCCCGCCACACACCGTCGTCTCCACCGTCAGATGCATCCACACCGATTCCTCCTCTCCCGACTACCGCAGAGAATCAGGTACCGGAATTCTGTTTGTTTCGCGAGGAAATCGACGAAATTGAATAAATTTAGTGCTTTCGGGCATTTGCAGTTCGAATTTTGATTAGTTTTCGTAATCTGAGCAGAAGAGCTTCGGACATTACTGTTGAAAGGATTCGAGGTGATCGGAGCATTGGTCGTTGCAAATTCCGGTGATGGAATGAGCGCCGCCGGCGAGGCAATTGCTGCGGCACGAAGGCTGCGGAAGCTGCTCCGCAGAGAAAATGGAAAAAAATTGGATAGTCGACAAGTAATTGGTGGTGTTGCGGATTGTAGTGGCGGTGACATTCAGTTTTTCGTGTCGAAATCCGAGAGCTTGACCAGCTTTGAAGCTGTGAATGTGTTGTATGATGGTCATCCTGAAAAGTATGTTTGGGAGAGGGGCTGTCTGCTCCGGTGTGAGCTTCCGTTTAAGCTGCCAATCTATTATCCAGTTAACAAGCCAAAGGGTAAGTTTTTCGGTTGGTGTTTTTTCGTAGAGTTGTGTAGTTTCATTTGGAAATTTGATTGAGCATTGGTGGTGGTTCAGGCTTGGTTGTTTGTTATGTTTGGTACTGTGATTTGGTTTGCTTGTGGATGAATGAGCTACTGACGGGAGCTTTTACTCGCTAAAATGAATGCATAACGATTTCTGAAGCATTATATTATACGAGTCTAGATAGATTGCAGTGACTTTTTCGGGGTGGTGGAACGCTGGTGTGTGGTAGAAGGGTAGATTCATAGACTAACTATACTATAGTTGACCGCTTTAAAAACAAAGGCTTTGTGTAGTGTCTATTGACGAGAATGTAGCTGGATTTGTTCATAGTCACTTTTTTTTTCCCAAAGGCCTTCTCATTCATTTCTGATTTCATACTTGCAATTGGATAAAATTTAGCCGCGGTTTAACTCTGCCTTTTGGATGAAGAGATCCATGTGCTTTATTGCAAATTGATTTGAATGGTGTTCATTTCTTGTGTACTATTGTATTAGATTCAGAAAAGATGTTTCGGCATGCAACTGAAGCAGTTATTGCAAAATTCAAAGATCCAAAGGCTGCGTACTTGGTAGAAGCATTAAGCAAAACATCTGCCGAAGTACCCCAACCTGTCATCCTCCGCGGTGTAGATTTGGATTTTGACACAGATCTCTCAAATGTCAAACTTGCGGGAGAAAGCGCCCAAGATTCTGAGGCTGGTCTTTTGTCGTGTTCCCACTTCTGTTTAGAAAGTAAAAAAGGTGCACCGGTATATTCTGTTGAGGTAGGACAAAGTGAAAGAGATTGATTGCTTATTTGAGATCTTGTAATTTTTCCCTTGGTAGTTTGTTTAAATCTTCTTTTAGCAATAACAGTAAATATTAGAATTCAGTTTTTGAATATCTTTCCTGCTTAGCATGCAGATAGAATCCAAGTAAGCATTCTGCTGAATAGTTCGGATAAGTCAGAAAAATCTACGGCACCCGTTGCAGAATATTTTCCAGGTATTGCTTGCACTCTTAATCATATGAGGTACAGATATACATTTTCAAATATGAAGCTTTCTAGTGGAGATTATATTTGTACTCAGTTTAATGGAATTTAAATTGTGTGGTTTCAGCTTTGGAAGAAGCCAAAGTTTTGGTGGTCGATTTTAAGCTAGAAGTGCTCTGCTATTCAGCCAAGGGTCTCCCACTGAAGCATGCAGTTTCAAAGTTATTGATCCCGGGGTTGATTGATCAGTTTAATTTAGTGGGAAATACAGTCCTACCCAACCTCTTAGCACAACATCCTCAGGTAAGGCAAACCATATCTTGTATAATATCATATGGATCTCTCGTTCTTACTATCCATCTAAATACTAAGGGCTGGTTTGGTATTGCTGTGCTTTGAAAAAAAGCTGTTGTGAGAATAAGCGGCTGTGAAATAAATCAGCAGAGTGTTTGGTAAACTTTTTTGTAAAAGTGCTTTTGGAAAAAAAAAACAGTCTAATAGTGGGTCTTTTCATTAAAGAAGCACTGTAGCTCCGTGTGCTTTGAAAAAAAACCAGTTTTCCAAAGCTGCAAATAGCAGCTTCAGCTTTTTCCTTTGATTTCAGCTTATTCCCACAGCAGCTTCCAAAATAAGCCATTTTTTTTCAGTTTACCAAACACCTAAAACCCTCACAGCTTTTTTTCATGGGTGCTTTTTTTTTAAGCACCTCACTCCCAAACTAGGTCTAATTCAACCAGAAAATTCAGAAACACAAGATTAATTCTAGTACAAGCGAGTAATTTCCGTTCCACGCTCTCTTTCCATGTGCATGCTTTCTGCTACTGTAATTCATAAAGACATCATCTGGCAGAAGGCCAATTGTTGATTGTGAACCCTTAAAATTCACACTTTGGGTTTACCAAGTTCTTTTTACTAAGAAACTAGTTTCTTTTCTTCTTTATGTATGAAAAGGTCCAGTCTTATTGGCATTATCCTCATTCCACTGTTCAATTTTCTTACTTTATTTGAAATTTACACTGTGCTTGTGCTCCCATATCATATAATTATGGACTAGCACATATGTGCACATGCTCGAAAACCTTAAGCTTTGTCTGGACATTCCGTAGCATCTGATGCCCGCTCACAGAAATATTGAATAAAAAGCTAGTACAGTGATTAATGATTATCAGAACAGCCAGATCAAACTTCAAGTAACTATTTTGTTTGTTGCGTTTGCAGCTACATCCATATCACTTTAGCCCTCCTGGTGTTCTGCATCCGATCACTGTTGTCTATGAACTCAACTATGGGGAAACAGAAATGAAGCAAGGTACGCAGTGGCAAAGATCAAATTTTCTTCCAAACAATCTACTTTTGAAAGAGTACTAGTCTTAAAACAAAAAGGTTAAGATGCTGTTAAGTGGCTCGGGCTCCTCACAGAAAACTTAGAGATTGTTTTTTTTTATCATCAAAATAAACACTCACATCTCTTTTATGATTAAAAAGTTGCTTTTGCTTCAGTGTTTGTGAATGTGGTAAAGGTAGTATTATTTCTTAGATGGATAGATTTTTAGAGAGGAAGCTTATACAAGTTTCTTTTGTAATTTGCTCTTGGAATTAGTTTTCTTAATCTTGCCATTGCTTTCTGCAGTTGAAGTTAGAAAATCTTTACACTTAAGACTGGGTTTACCTTTTGATCGTCCTCTTCTAAGAATTGCCAACGCTCTCGATATCTCTACATCGAGGGATGTTGTAAGGAGTGATGCAAAGTGGAAAGGTAAACCATTTTCCATTGAATAGGCAACGTCATCCCGTCTCCATAAAGAAACGTTTTCTTTTTCCTTGGTTTTTTTGTTGGTAATAACTATTTTGATACAATTCTATGGTAATTTCAGGTTCTAGTTTGCTCAAAGATGTACACGTTGGGATTCCAAGCAGTGGCGGTTGGTGTCTGCTCTTGTTTCTTTGTTTATTCCCTTTCCCTGCCTTCTATTAGCGGGATTTTGCTTGGTAATCTTATGTCTTTATGCAGTTTCTGGGGGCAGTGTGTCTTTGGTGCAAGGCTCTTATGAATACTACCATTATCTACAAGATGCCTTTAATGATTCGGTAATGAGCGATCTCTATACCTAGTATTCGTAATATCTTGTCGAGAATATACATTAAGCTGCGGTTAGGTTGAATTTTCGTTATGATTGAATTAAAGCCGTCTAATAGTTCATTTCCCGGAGTGCCCGTCTTGGCCTTCTATGAGTTTGAAATTCAGTTATGTCAACTGTTGTTTCATTTCCTTGCTAGGGTTGGGGTTGTGCTTATCGCTCTCTACAAACGATCATTTCATGGTTCAGACTCCAACACTACACATCCGTACAAGTTCCTTCTCATAGGTAAAAGATGTGCCAAGCACAGGATTTGCTTTGCCTTGGTTAATTGTTTCGCTTTCTTTTCCAACACCTCATATCGGCATCATATAATTTCATCTGACAAGCCAAAGTGATATTAGGGAAATACAGCAGGCACTTGTAGAGATTGGTGATAAAGATCCTTCTTTCATCGGGTCACACGAATGGATTGGCGCCATCGAGTTGAGCTTTGTCCTGGACAAGCTATTGGGTGTAAGTACCATCAATGTGGTTTACTGAGAATTTCTCAAATAAAACGCACCGGAGTTTAACGAGATTAGTTTCTTGTATTGAACAGGTTAGTTGCAAAGTCATGAATGTCCGATCTGGTGCTGAGCTTCCCGAAAAATGTCGAGAGCTGGCCTTACACTTCGAGACTCAAGGAACACCTATTATGATTGGTTAGTTCTACTTCTTCCCCGTCCCGTAAACTTGACGCTTCTCTGGATGAAAGATGGTATGATATTTTGCAGAAACAATTGATGAAACACGAAATGATAGCCTCTTATTATTCGATGTATAAATGCAGGTGGTGGAGTTCTGGCATATACGCTATTGGGAGTTGATTACAACGAAGCAAGCGGAGATTGCGCGTTCCTAATACTCGATCCTCACTACACAGGCAGTGACGAACACAAGAAAATTGTAAATGGCGGATGGTGCGGGTGGAAAAAGGCTGTTGATAGCAAGGGAAAGAGTTTCTTTTTGCATGATAAGTTCTATAATCTTCTGCTTCCACAGAGGCCTAATATGGTTTGATCTATACAAAAATCATCATCGAATCTATACACCCTGTTATGAAATGTAGCATCACATTAAGCAGCAACAGGTATTTAATCTATACAAAACGATCATGTTTAAGCACTAATTTTGAAATTATGCTAATCATGTCTAAAATCTTCCTTGTTATGCAAGAAAAATACAATAGAAGTCAACAGCGATTTGACATCTAAATTCTAACCTATCAACAAGTGCAGATAATACAACGTTCCGCAGCAGCAAATCTCTTTCATCCTCTTCAATTCACACCGGTGGTGGTGGCGGCCGCAGCAGAAGCAGCCTGATCGTGGTGAGGAACTTCATCATACGCGCCAGTCTCCTCATTGTATGAGTACCAAACCCCAGATGCAGCAGAGCAAAATAGTCCTGTGGATGGATCGTAATAGTACCCCAAACTGCTGCTGTAATAGTACCCCGAATTCTCATCAAACACATAATCATTCTGCCCTTCAGACGAACCGGCTCCTGCTCCGTTAGAATCCGAGGGTCTAGCAGCAGCATTAGCATCTTCTTCATCATCATCCTCACCAAACATATCATATCCATCTCCAGCAGATTCACCACCATTGTTATCATTCCCAACTGGCGCGGCCGGGATGCCTTCGAGTCTTGCCCTAGCTAAAGTCTCGTACCCTTGAGCCTCCCTTTCGAAAATCTCCTTCTTCTCATGATTCACATCGTACTCCCCGTGCTTGTCCATCAGCGTCACAGCGTCCTCAGTCAGCTGGTCGAAAACCCTCTTCGTCTCCGGTGACATCTTCACCTTCTTGTCCCCCTTCAACCTCCTCAGAGCCCGCAACACCGTTTCGCCTTCCTCGAGCACGTCGGCAATGCGCCTCTTAATCTTCCCAATATCTTCATCTTCCGGTGGCAAATCCGCCGCATCATCTTCGGTTTTCGGCTTGGGAACATGTAATTTCGTAACCCCAGCTTCAACACTATCAAGCCAAGCATCCTTCACGCGATTCCCCTCGGCATACTCCACGAAATTCCCCTCGGCATCGAAATACCCCTCTTTCCTCTCCTTCTCTAAGTTGAAAGGGTCCATCTGAATCCCGTCGTCCCCGAACCGCCGCCGCTTCTCGCGCTCTTTGGCGGCGAAACGGGGGTCCGGAAACTCACCCCCGATCTCGTCGTCGTCCTCGTCGGCTCTGCGTATCTTCACGGGTTCGTCTTCCCGTTTCGCCTTCTTCCCCTTGGGAAACTTAACCTTCCTTTCCGCCGTGGGTCTGTCGGAATCGGAATCGGAGTCGGAGAGCTCAGGGATGGGGCGCTTGCGATTGGATCGCGACGGAAGATCTGGTTCCATTGAAGAGATTGGAAGCAAATCGAATCAAGACGGAGGTTTTTGGGATGGTGTAATTACTGACCGATATTTGTGTGTGTTCTAGAACGTTGAGACGGTGGTAGAGTAGGGGTTTTGTGGAGATTTTCTTAATTTTTTATTTTTTTATTTGAGAATATCTATATTTTTCTATTAAAAAAATAAGAGTTCGGTTAAATCATATAATAAGCACATACGTAACATATTATTAATAAAAAAAAGATAGAGGGATGTGACACATAATTACCGTTCATGTTTCGTGACACAAAAAAATCTATCGTTTTTGTGAGGAGGATTTCTTTTTACATGGTTTTTGGAATAAAATTTTAATTTTTCTCTTCTAATTTATTTGATTTTTTAAAATAAAATAATTTTTACTAATCATATAGGCAAATAAGGTTGGTAAGAAACAACAATATTTGGCTACTCAAATATGAATAGGAACTCTTACTTAAAATTTCTCAAAATTGTTTGTTGTCAATTTATAAAACTTCGTTTTTATAATCAAAACCATTCATTTTATAAATCACTCTATAAAGATCATCTTTGTAAAAAATCAATTAAAACTAAGGTCATTTAGTCATCAAACTGTTTAAAAACAAATGAACGGTATTGGTAAAAGTATTACGAATCGTCTATGTATTTACTACAATAAATTGACTAAACGACCTTATTTTTAATTTATTTTTTCAGAGATGATCTTTACAGTGTGATTTATAGTATGAATGATTATGATCATAAGCACAAAGCTCTAAGATTAAAATACTAAGAGTTTTGAGTAGAAGTTCTTACTCATTTTTTAATAACCAAGCATTGTTCCGTAAAAAATTTGAGTGAAGGATAACCGTTAATGTTTTCGTTGACAGAAACTTGATGGAAATGGTCGGTGACGGAAAGAGAAACACATGAAGGGATGGGGGCTTCCGGTTACAGTTCTGAAATAAATTTCATCGTTTAATTCAATTTGTTAAAACTTGGTTAGAATTTTTACTAAAAAGAATGGTTATTATCACTTCAAATAAAGTACTTTTTATTTTTTCAACAAACAAGGTACGTTTTTGGGTGGAACAAAATCTTAAAATGTGGTTCAAATCCGCTTTTCGCAAAAATCAAACTTAAGATCAAGAATACCACTATATCGTAGTACGGTAAAATTGAAAATTTTGGGTAAAAATAGGGGTGATGAGTGTCCTAATTACACTATTTGGTGTAAATAAATTCCTAAATTCTTTAAAGCCCACACATCATGCAAATTTGGGATTTTGACTTCTAAAGCCCAAATTACCCGTCAACCCATACTCCTTCTGAGATTGCCCCAAACCGCAAAACGCACCGTCTAATCCCTCATTTCCCAGGAGATAGTGCTGTTGCTAGTAGCAAAAGCTAGCAGCAGCTTATCCAAAAGGCGCCAAACCATGGCTCTCATCCGCCACCAACTCTCTCGTCCTCCGTCACTTCCCTCCTCCCGCAGCCACCCTCCACCAAACCACCACTTCCCAAAACCCTGCCTCTTCGTATTCTCCAAAAACCTCAGACTCTTCTCTCTCTACTCAGCTCCGCCCACTCCCTCCTCTCTCTCCTCCGCCCCCATTTTCCTCCCCTTTCTTCAAAACCAAGAGGAAGAAGACGAAGACGAAACTGAAGAAGAAACAGAAGAGCCACCAGCACTCGAAGAAGATGAAGAAGAGGAGGAGGACCCAGATGACCCAATTCTCAGATTCTTCAAGTCCCGCACTTCAACCCAAGACCCTGAGCGCGAAGGCAAGTTCTCTCTCCAAAAGAACCGCCGCTCCGCTTGGCGTTTGGCTGACGGTACCCACCTCGCAGACGAATCGGAACCCGAAACCGGCGTCAAAAAACTGCTCGGAGAACAGAAACAAGTTGGTCCAATCAAATTTGGTTCAAATGCATCGCCTGAGGGAATTGTCCAAGAGATTCTGCAAAAGGCAAGGACTTTGCCGCAGAATTTGACGTTGGGAGAGGCTTTGGGGGGTTTCGAAGGAAGGGTTGGGGAGAAAGAGTGTGTGAAAATATTGGAGGTGATGGGTGAGGAGGGGTTATTGGTGGGTTGCTTGTATTTCTTTGAGTGGATGGGTTTGCAGGAGCCGTCTCTTGTTACGCCTCGGGCGTGTTCGGTTTTGTTTCCGATGCTGGGGAGAGCTGGAATGGGGGATAAGTTGATGATTTTGTTTAGGAATTTACCGGCCAAGAAGGAGTTCTGGGATGTTCATGTGTATAATGCTGCAATTTCGGGCTTAATGTGCTCCAAGAGGTATGAAATGCTTTGATAATTGTGTTTTATTTTGCCGTTTGGAAGTTTAGATTTCGCTTTTCGGTCAATTTGTAGTGATATTATTAATTGTAGTCTGGCTATGAGAAGAACGGACTATTGATATATCATCGAAAATGTACTGATCTCACAATGTACCAACATATTGTAGAAGCATTTTTGACAATATCGATGCACATAGAACTTTTGTTGGTAGTTGTCTGAGTAGGGTGTTATATGATGAGTTACTGGAAGTTTGAATTGTTGGGATTTTATGCATGTTTCAGTGGACCCGAGGCAATGCCTTCGTGCTATTTGCATTCTGTTCTTAATCCAAGTTGTTTGATTATTAGTTGAAAGAACAAAAATTTTGGGAAAGTTGTTGTTGATGCTTGCAAAAGATAAAGTAACTTGCTAGAATTCATTTGATAATATTTACTGACTTTTTTTCAGGTACGATGATGCTTGGAAGGTGTATGAGACTATGGAAGCAAATAATACCCTTCCGGATCATGTGACATGTTCAATCATGATTACTGTCATGAGAAAAGTTGGACGTAGTGCAAAAGATTCATGGCAGTTCTTCGAGAGAATGAACAGGAAAGGTGTCAGATGGAGTCAAGAAGTTTTGGGTGCTCTTATAAAATCATTCTGTGATGAGGGGTTGAAGAGAGAAGCCCTTATCATTCAAGTAGAAATGGAGAAGAAAGGGGTCTCATCAAACGCCATTGTGTATAACACTTTAATGGATGCCTTCTGTAATTCAAACCAAGTTGAAGAAGCTGAAGGTCTCTTTGCCGAGATGAAATCAAAAGGGATTAAACCAACAGCTGCCACCTTCAATGTTCTAATGAGTGCATACAGCAGAAAAATGGAGCCGGAGATTGTTGAGAAGCTGCTGGTCGAAATGCATGATATGGGACTAAAGCCAAATGTCAAATCCTATACTTGTCTTATCAGTGCATATGGGAGGCAGAAGAAGATGAGTGATATGGCTGCGGATGCTTTTTTGAGGATGAAGAAGGTTGGTATTCGTCCAACATCACATTCTTATACAGCTCTTATTCACGCGTTTTCAGTCAGCGGCTGGCATGAGAAGGCTTACATTGCATTCGAAAACATGCAAAAAGAAGGACTAAAGCCCTCCATAGAAACCTATACTGCTTTACTGGATGCATTTAGGCGTGCTGGTGACGCGCAGATGTTGATGAAAATTTGGAAACTGATGATCAAAGAGAAGATTGTGGGGACTAAGGTGACATACAACACTCTTCTCGATGGATTTGCCAAACAAGGGCACTATGTGGAAGCAAGAGATGTGATTTCCGAATTTGGTAATGTAGGCTTGCAGCCAACTGTGATGACATATAATATGCTGATGAATGCGTATGCACGGGGAGGGCAACACTCAAAGTTGCCACAGCTGTTGAAAGAGATGGCAGCTCTCAAGTTAAAACCTGATTCTGTAACTTACTCGACCATGATTTATGCCTATGTTCGTGTTCGTGATTTCAGACGAGCATTTTTCTACCACAAGCAAATGGTAAAAAATGGACAAGTGCCAGATGCCAGGTCTTATGAGAAGCTTAGGTCAATTTTGGATGTGAAAGCTGCACGGAAGAACAAAAAGGACAAGAGTGCTATACTCGGTATAATTAATAGCAAAATGGGTTTGTTGAAAGTTAAAAAGAAGGGAAAGAAAGATGAGTTCTGGAAGAACAAGAACAAGCGTTATGTCAGAACTGATAACTCAGAGTGATATCAATCTTCAGCTTATCACTTTCTGCATTTCTTTCAAAACTTTCAGAAAGGTTATGAGATAGTAGTTGTTTCGTGTCTGGACTGCCTCAGTTGGAAATTTGAAAAAAGCACCTCCACACCGAAGTTGTTAGGGTGAAATTCTCTACAAGATCTGCGTGATCCTTCACGAAACAAGAAGATTGGCTGCAGCTGATGCAGGCCAGTCTCCGTTGATACAACTAGGTAAGCATATCTGTTCATATGTCGATGTAAGGGGAAAAAGTTCTTTTGCTTCCCCAGTCCCCTGTACTAGTCTACAATCTATTTGTACTGAGAAAATGTTGTTATTTGAGCATACATCTCATTCAGCTCTCATGGATTTCTTGTTCTTGTATTATCCTGTAGTTATGAGCCTCTTTGCTTTTGCATGTTTTAGAACTTCGGCTGCAAGGCTCAGGAGTGAGCTGACTGAAAACCGTTGAGGAATAGTCGGCTTACAGATTTGTTGTTCTTCCTGGTGCACAAGTTCCGGATGGTTTCCCTTCCCAGGTCCACTTCTTTGCTCGGGTTGGCTGTTGAAGCCGGCGGCCTTTTCAGTCTTCAAGAGGATAATATCCAAACTCTATCCACAGAGTCAAAAAAAAATATCCAAACTCTATCCACAGAGTCGGCATTTGTTCCAAAATCCAGTTGCAATATCTTTTTGTATGCCTTGATGCTGAAGAATCATCACCTAATATGGGTCACCATTGGGTGGGGCCCGGCCAGAGTGCAAACCCAACGAACTGGGCTGACCGGCCCTAAGAGCAACTTTACTCTTAGGGCGATAATTGCTCGGGCTATTGGACAATTGGCGATTATTGTCTTAGTGAACAGTAATCATCCGAGGGTAGCTCTACTCTGCAAATGAATTGCTCGGGCAATTGACTTCAAAAAATTATTTTTTTCATTAATAATAAAATATTATGTTTAATTTCGAATTTTCTTAATTTTCTTTTTTGTTTTTCCATTTGTCTGTGTTTTTTAAATCATTTTTTAATGTTTTTGAAATGAATGATACAGACCCTTGGATTACAATTTTTTGCAATCCAAAATCCCAGGTTGTGCCACGTGGGATGAACCTTTTTTATGATTTTTTATTTTTTCTGAATTTAAAAAAGCAGATCAATATGGACCGTCGGATCTAAGAAATCCAACGACCCACATTGGAACAGAAACTGAGTGCGCCTGAGTGCAGGTCCCACTAACACTTTTTGGTCAGCTCACTTTCCCCACTTGTGCGTGAAGACCACGCACCTGACGTAAAAAAAATTATAACATGGCTGACAATAGGCTGACTTTACCTGACGTCAGATTGCTTCAAGCAAGGCTTCATGCCAATCTCGCTCGACTGCTTGATCTGTGGGAGATGGGCCCACTTAATAGATGAGGCAATTGGATTAGGCTGGAGTAGATTTTGGAAGGGTTGTAGGATTCAATCACTCAATAGGTGGGGCAATTTGCAGGGGTGGAGTTGCTCTAAATTAACAGCCCATGACCCACTTTGGCCATGGATTGCGAGCCAAGTGATGACCCTTTATTGGACCATGACAAGCTGCACCAAAAGAACTCATGAGTCAGCCAATCAAACTACATAAGTAGATGCAGCATCACTTTGCAAAAAAGGTAGATGCAAAGTTGGTTGCTAATGCACAATGTAGATGCATAATTGTGCATAACCAATTTACAAATAGAGAGTAGAACCATAATTAATTTACAAAGTGCAGCATCAGTACAAAGTGTAGCATCAGTTCAAAGTACAGCATCAGTTCAAAGTGAAACATCAGTTCAAAGTGCAGCATCGAAGCTAGACGGTTAATGTTTTTGCTCACAACATTTAAATGCATATTCATTTTCTTTTTCAGATGTTTAAGAATCAATTAACAAACAGAATGTAGAATCAGAATTAATTTACAAAGTGCAGCATTTGTACAACGTAGATGCATAATTATGCAAAACCAATTTACAAACAGAAAGTAAAACCAAAATTAATTAACAAAGTGCAACATTAGTTCAAAGTGTAGCATCAGTTCAAAGTGTAGCATCGAAGATAGATGGTTAATGTTTTTACTCACAAAATTTAGACACATATTCATTTTCTTATTCAGATGTTTGACAATCAGTATACATATAAACTAAAAAAGCCTGAAACATCTAAAACACTGAAATTGGTTTTTCACGAACTGGAACATTGAATTTTTTGGTAAAATCAAGTGCAAAAAACACTTGATAATGCATGCGTTTTTTTATAGTTTTCTTTTGCAAAATCAAGTGCAAAAACACTTGATAATGCATTCGTTTGTTACAGAGTTTGAATTATAATCATTCAAAAAGACGATTTTGACTAGTAGGAAAACCTTTGAAACACTGATCTGTCTGGAAATCCGGCTAAACTTTGTGAATCACTGAAATCCAACTTAAAAGTTTATGAAACTATGGAGATTTTAGGGTTTTTTGTCTGGGAATGTATCTTTTGTGTGAGAGGAAATTTGAAATGATAGGTTTAGGGAAGAGGAACGCGGGTATTGAATGGAAAAGGGAAAGAAACTGGTTGGTTTTAATGATTTTTGTCATGTAGTGGCTAACGTGGCCATTTATTAATGGTTATAGTTGATTCGTTTCTTTTTGGGTTGGGCTTGGTTTTTTGTTATTGGGTTTTTTGTCCTTTTTGTAATGTTTTAAAAGGTGTGAAGTTATGTGAAATATGATATATATTTGTGTCTCTACAAGTAAAGCTCCCTTTTTTTTTCCATTTTTCTGTGTTTTTTTAATAATTTATTAATGTTATTCAAATGAATGATATAGACCGTTGGATTATAATTTTTTGCAATCCAACATCATAGGTTGTGCCAAGTGGGATGAACCTTTTTCAATTTTTTTTTTCAGATTAAAAAAAAAGCAGATCAATATGGACCGTTAGATATAAGAAATCCAACAACCCACGTTGGAACAAAAATTGAGTGCACCTGAGTGTAGGTCCTACTGACACTTTTTGGTCAGCTCACTCTCCCCACTTGCACGTGAAGACCACGCACTTGACATAAAAAAAAAATATAACATGGCTGACAATAGGCTAACTTTACCTGACGTTAGATCACTTCAAGCAAGGCTTCATGCCAAATCTCACTCGATTGCTTGATCCATGAGAGATGGGCCCACTCAATAGATTGGGCAATTAGCTTGGCTTGGAGCAGATTTTGGAAGGGTTGTAGGATTCAATCACTCAATTGGTGGGACAATCTGTAGGGATGGAGTTGCTCTAAATTAACAGCCCATGACCCATTTTGGCCATGGATTGTGAGCCAAGTGATGACCCTCTATTGGACCATGACAAGCTACACCAAAAGAACTCATGAGTCATCCAATCAAACTACAGAAAGCAGAAATGTCCTCCAACAAACTAGTGACAACTTTCACTAGATACAAGGAATTGTTTTAAATGATCAGGCTTACCTTCGACAAAGTGGCAACTACCAATACGGTGCAAAGTGCTCAACTAAAGCTACGTGTGCGAAGTGTGTGCTAGCAAAGTGATAGCCACCAGCACAGTGCGAAGTGCTCTATTGAAGCAGCTTGTGTGAAGTGCCGCCAAAATTTGCTTACTAAAACGTGTTAGATTGCCTAATTTGTGTAAAGTTTCTCAAGTTTCCACTCTTTTCCTCGTCCTCCACATTTATGTTTGTTCATGCTCTGGATTTAACAAATCAAAAAGAGAATCAAAAGACGAAAATAGTATACAAATCATCTCCAAAAATAACTATTCTATCAATGTCGAGTTAAAGACCTAACCATTCCAAAAGTTCACAGTAATTGACTCCTAAATGGTTAAAGACTTTGTACGAGTAAATGGTTTAACTATTTACTTAAACACAAAACAAAATTTAATGCGTCAGATTAAGACAATTTTTTCATAAAACAAATTCCTTGGGAACAAAGATAAACCTCATTAGGACAAAATGACAAAAAACAGGGCAGAAGCGTAAATTCCGCGCGATATCCCAAACCGAAACCCTAAACCGGGTTAGACCGGAGTCGGGTGGAAGCAAAAGATAGGGCCAAAACAGTTCATGCTGGCTTTAGCGGGAAGGCCACGTGGACCGCCCTATTGCATATACACCCAAAACCCTCCCCCCCCAACAGTGATGACGTGTCCTCGAAACCGTAGCCTCCCTATAAAACCCTCCGCTTCCCTACACTTTCAATCTCATCCATTTCCTCTCTCTCTCTGCTCACTTTCTCTCTCTACAAATCTCTAACCGATTGAGTCTCCGACACTCACTCACAGATTCGGATCCACCTCCGCCGCTTTCTGATAAACCCGGACCAACCCCGACCCGCCGATCCATCAGATTGTCGTCGTTTCGTTTCCGGTCTAGCACTTCTCTCCCGCCGTTTCGGGCTTTTCGGCTCTTCCAGTGGGACTCCGGAGCTCTGAGATTTGGATATCCGATTGCTTCTCCTGTTCTTGGCTCGAGATCCGGGCCAAGCACAGAAGAAATAGATTTGCCGCCCTTCCGACTTCGTATACGTACAGGTTATTTTCGAATTTTTTGTTTGCGGAAAGAAACTGATTCGCCGCTCTTCCGACTTCGTATGCATACAGCATCACTGAGTGGATTGTTTTATTGCTGTGTACGTCGGTGGTGTTTGGATGCTGAGAAAATACGGGAAAAGGAAAGGAAGATGATGCATTTGGTGTTTGGTTTTCACATTGTTTGGGGCTCGGAAAAGTGAAATCTGTGCTTTACCGTGTCTGATGCTGCATTTTTCTTGTGTATTTCTTCAATTTGCTTCCCTTTTTTTGTAGGCAAACAGTGTTTAGCTATAATTTTTATGTGTAGTTAATGCTTGCTTAATCCGTTTTCAATATTTGATTTGTTAAATATTTGCTTAGGTAAATTCGTTTTTGATATTTGATTAGTTTAATATTGCTTAGGTAAATGAAAATCCTTTCCTGTAGGTGAATTTGTTTTCACTTGGGTTTTCGGTTTTAGTTAATGGAAGAACAGTGGAAGCTAGAGTGATCAATTTGAAAGTAATTCCGAAGATCGAATAATCTGCATTTTTACTAAATATTAATATTCATGTAGGACTTTTGGCTGGGTAAATGGCCTCGAGTGAGGGATTTCTGACGAATGAGCAGAGGGAGATGTTAAAAATTGCCAGCCAGAATGTGGAGGTTTTGTCGTCATCACCGAAATCCCCTACATCTTTTCTGTCTGAACACCATGTAAAAGCCCCTGCTGGTGGGAAGGCACCAACAGCTGGGATAGCTGCGAGGCATGTACGCCGGTCACACTCAGGGAAGTTCGTGCGAGTAAAGAAGGGTAAGTCCCATCCGGCACTTTGTGATTTGGTTTGATTTTGTTTTAGCTTACCACTACGTAATGATGTTTATGGTTTTATTAATATCTCTAGTTGTCCACTCGCCCTTGTGCTTTGCTATCTCTGCGACTCTTGTTATATTATTGTTGGCCTTATAAGAATTTGTATGCATGTATCAATTGAATTTTTAACCTTTAAGTAAATTATTGCTACTCTAGTTTTACACGAACCAGGACTTTACCTTCTATAACGGTGTACATCTCATGCATATTATCGTCGAGATTGCTGTAGTAGCTGAAGTCATGAACCATGATGGTGCAGTGAAACTTAGTTACACTATGCAAAAATATGCATCTCATGCATGATTTTGAATTGTTGTTCTTCTATTAAGCTACTAAGTGTGTAGCTTAACTTAGCTGTTGATAGGGTGTGATTGAAGTGAGTAAAATTCGTGACTGATTAATTCAAACCAAGGTAGTACTTAGATTTGGACAGTTTTAAAGTTCTTTTTCTTTATAGCTCTGTGAGTTTTAACTTTTGATTTGATGTTGTTCGGTTGTGCTGAATCAATGATATTGTAGGTGGTTATTAAAATTAGCTATTTCTGGTATTTTGT